AAGATCAGTTCATCTATATAGCTGGCTGAATTATATTGACATCTTCAGAGAAATTAGACACAAACTGCGCATTCAAAATTAAGGTGACTCACTTATGCTTGCTAAAAACTATGGAGATTCCTGTCATTCGCAGAGAAAAGGAACATGTTAAGACATTACATTTTTATTACAAATGAATGGGAGCCAATAGTTCCCTGGTGCATTCTCCATGGCACCACCTCAACCAATCACAGTTGACTTGCCAATCAATCTTTTCTCAGGTAGTATAAATTGTTTCTTCCTTTGAAACATGGTACTCTTGTCCTGATTAATTTAAGACAAACAGTTACAATAGCACGTCTTTTTCAGCAGTACACAAGTTCCAGTAACTACAATCAAAATTTATCTCACCAATGTGCAGCCGTTAATAAAAAAAACACCAGCTCTAAGCCCTGGAAGAGGCCTTCAAATATGAATAAAGAAGGCATTAGAAGCCTCAAAAGACAAGTCATTGGATAAGCATAAGAACTTATGGTGAAATAAGTCAATTATAAATTCTGATTTAATCTTGACTTAGAGCATTAGATTTTTCACATACCGAGTGCAACATTTTCAGAGCCTGGGAGGATAGTTGAACCTAATTGCCCAGAGGGCAGTTAAGAGCCAACCACATTGTTGTGGGTCTGAAGTCACATGTAGGCCAGACCAGGTAAGGATGGCAGTTTCCTTCCCCACAGGACATTAGCGAGCCAGGTGGGTTTTTCCAACAATCAACGAAAGTTTCAAGATCATCATTAGACTCTTCATTCCAGATTTTTTAAAATTCAAATTCCATCATTTGCCATGTTTAAAAAGTACTTGGATGAGAACTTGAAGTGTTATAGCATTCAAGGCTATGAGCCTAGTGCAGGTAAGTGGAATCAGCATAGGTTGTAGTGTATTTTTGGCAGTCTGTACTGTTTGGTCCTACGATTCTAAGCAACTTAAGCAGATTGTGAGTACGCAGGGACTGAAGGATTCACTCAGATAACTCAAATGGCTCAGTGGTTAGCACTGCTGCCTCACAGCACCAGGGACCTGCGTTTGATTCCACCCTCGGGCGACTGTCTGTGTGGAGTTTGCACATTCTCCCTGTGTCTGCATGGGTTTAGAACATAGAACATAGAACTGTACAGCACAGTACAGGCCCTTCGGCCCATGATGTTGTGCCGAACTTTTACCCTAATCCTAAAGTCTATCTAAAATCCACCCCTACCTTATACAATCATCCATATCCCTATTTAATAGCCACTGAAATGCCCCTAATGAGGCCGACTCCACTGCCCTCTCCGGCAATGCATTCAACGCCCCAACCACTCTCTGAGTAAAGATACTCCTTCTGACGTCTCTCCTATATCTACCTCCACTCACTTTAAAACTATGCCCCCTCGTAATAGCTACCTCCACCTAGGAAAAAGTCTCTGGCTGTCCACTCTATCTATACCGCTGATCATTTTGTACACCTCTATCAAGTCACCTCTCATCCTTTGTCGTCCTAAAGAGAAAAGCCCTAGCTCTCTCAACCTTTCCTCGTAAGAACTTCCCTCCATTCCAGGCAACATCCTGGTAAACCCCTCTGCACCTTTTCCAGGTTTCCTCTGGGTGCTCCGGTTTCCTTCCACAGTCCAAAGATGTGCAGGCTAGGTGGATTGGCCATGCTAATTTGCCCGTAGTGTTCAGAAATATGTAAGTTAGGGGGATGGGTCTGGGTGGATGCTCCAAGGGTCGGTGTGGACTTGTTGGGCCGAAGGGCCTATTTCCACACTGCAGGGATCCTATGAACCCCGTTGTAAATGTGGGCACAGAAATTATTATGGGAAAAAGTTGACAGGAGTTTAAGAAACTCAGAGAACTAGAGGTTAAATTATGTAAACACAAAGCACATGCAGACACAAGACTTATTAATAAGATTTAGATCTTAAATTGACATTGAAGAAAACATACTTCGTGGCTTGCTACCATCCCTTCCCCCAATGCATATTTGTTTCCAATTTTAAATTGTTCTGTGTTGGACTGTATATCTTTTAGAATACGGATTCACAAGCAGGATTGTTTTTCTAAGTCTGCTTATAGGTGATTTGTATGCAAACACATTCCAGCCTCCTTAAGGAGTAAAAGTCAAAACAAATTTACAAAAGATTAAGGCAATAATGTCCCTAAAAAAAAATTCCCTTTTGAATCAAATTGTCTCCACTCAGAAATCTTTGCTAACCAACCCTGCGCATTTTGACAATTGATGCATTTGGAAGTCTTCCAGGATCTCCAGTTTATTTCTGTTTCTTTTTTTCAGAACATAGTAAAGATTTCCCAGAGCAGATGTGTGGATTTAATATAGAAATACCTCCATGGGCTTGCAAACTGACCTCTCTCTCTGATTTCCTTCTCAATTTGTATCATTTTCACTTTCATTGAAGAGAGGCAGGGACTTCTAACCTGAGACTTTCAACTTTGGCTTAGCACAAGACATCACTAGACACGGGGGGCTGTGTTTGCTGCTTAGCAAGTGTTGCAGAGCTCCATATATCTGTTACAATCCATTTGGGAATGGGCAAGCAACACATAGAACTCTCAGCTGAGAGGTGAAGCATCACTCAGCCAGAACGCCATCCAAGGAAAGCAATCGAGAACCGAAAGTGTTGACAGAAGAACTGCTTCCTCCTGTGAACAAACTTCTCGGGTTCATTAAAGCTTACGAACAAGATTATGCCCAGAAGTTTGCATAAAGAAAGACAGAAAGAGGATGAGGTGAAGAGAAAGAGAGAGAAAAAAAGAGACTGCAGAACTATAGAAAAGTTGCAGCACAGGAAGTGGCCATTCGGCCCATTGTGTCTGTGCAGCTGAATAAACTAGCCGTCCATTATAGAACATAGAACATAGAACAGAACAGCACAGTACAGGCCCTTCGGCCCATGGTGTTGTGCCGACCTATTATCATACAAAGATCAATCTACACTGCACACCCTACATTTTACTATCCTCCATGTGCCTATCCAAGAGCCGCTTAAAAGTCTCTAAGGTATCTGACTTATAATCCCACTTTCCAGCATCTGGCCTGCAGCCTTGTAACACTTCAGGTGTCGATCCATGTTTATTGCAATGGAGTCGAGGATTTCTGCTTCCAGTACCGAACTGGGCAGTAAATTCCAGAACCCGACGACAAGCTGGCTCAAAAAGATTGTCCTCATGTTCCCTCTAAACATTTTACCAACGAACTTAAATCTGTGCCCCCAGTGGGTAAAGAAGTGATTTAATTCTTTTACATCTCCCAGACCGATACACAAACCAGATTACACACTGAGTTCATTACCCAACAGTGACTAATTTCCAAATTACATTGCTTCAACCTCTCTCTACTACAAGCTGAAGTCTCTACCTGCTTCAAGAAGACCACCATCATCCCTGTACCCAAGAAAGCACATGCAATGTGCCTTAATGACTAGTATCCAGTGGCCTTTGACCTCAATAATCATGAAGCGCTTCGAGAGGCTGGTCATGGCCCACACCAACTCCAGTCTCTCAGCCTGCCCTGATCCCCTACAGTTTGCCTACCGACATAACAGATCCACAGAGGATGCCATATCCCTAACCCTGCACTTATCCCTGGAACGTCGGGACATCAAAGAAACCGATGTCAGACTCCCGCTCATTGACTACAGCTCCACCTGCAACACCATTATCCCCTCCAGACGATCTCAAAACTGCATGACCCTGGTCTGAGCTCCTCCCTCTGCAACTGGATCCTCAGTTTTCTGACCCACAGGCCACAATCAGTGAGGATAGGGAACTGCACCTCCTCCACAATAACACTCAACACTGGAGCCCCCCAAGGATGTGTCCTCAGGACCCAACGTACTCCCTGTACACCTACAACTGTGTTGTCAAATTCCGAATGAATGCCAAATACAAGTTCGCTGACGACACCACCATAGTGGGACTGATATCTGACAACAATGAGTTAAACTACAGCAGGGAAATAGAGAGCTTCGTGACGTGGTGCAATGAAAACAATCTGTCTCTCAACGTCAGCAAAACTAAAGAACTGATCATCAACTTCATAAAGAAAGGAGGAGAACATGCCACATCTACATCAATGGAACTGAGGTTGAGAGAGTGAAGAGCGTCAAGTTCCTCAGAGTGACGATAACTGACAACCTGTCCAGGACTTCCCATGTAAATATAACAGCCAAGAAGGCACAACAACGCCTCTTCTTCCTCAGGCAGCTCAGGAAATTTGGCATGTCCATAAGGTCCCTCACCACCTTCTACGGATGCCCCACTGAAAGCATACTGTCCGGGTGCATAACGGTCTGGTATAGCAACTGCTCTGCCCAGGACCGTAAGAAACTACAGAAGTGGGTGTGCACAGCCCAGACCATCACAGAAGTCAACCTTCCATCCATGGACTCTATTTACATGGCTCACTGCCACAGAAAGGCAGCCAACATCTTCAAAGACCCATTGCTCCTCGGTAATGGTCTCCTACAACCTCTTCTGTCGGGCAGAAGATACAGAAGCCTAAACACACGCACAAGCAGGTTCAGGAACAGCTTCTTTCTGGCTGTTATTAGACTGTTGAATGGGCTGTAGCCTCAAATAATGGAACTCCAATGTAACCTGTACGCCTCTATGTCTTTTTGATCTATACATCCTTTGCTTACTATGATCTGGCTGTACCGCTCATAAACAAAACTCTTCACTGTATTTTGGTAAACGTGACAATCAATCAATCACAAAACCAATCAATCAATCAATCATAAAGAGCTTGGTAATGTCACAAGAAATGTCTAAATGAAGGCTTTCTTTCTTTTCTCGTGGTCTATCTCCTTGGTAAGTATTCTGGACTCTGAGTTCTCTGTCTGGTTGTGAACTCCCATGTGCAACAGGTTGGAATTTAGGCACCAGAGGAAACTGAGAGTGTGTGGGGGTAATTTACACTCTGACAGATGAGTTGCTTTCCACTGTCTTCCGACATTTACACGTACCACATTACAACCTGGGCAGTTATTGCCATTTTCACAGCTTCTCTGTCTCGCGTGCATGCCTCCTCCACAGTCAGAACTACATCTAGTCCATGGGCTCCAGCTGGACCAAAACATGGGTAGCGAACAAGCAGCGTTCTCGTTGCAAAATCTGAAAAGAAATAAGTCAACTTTAATGAGGATCAATGACTGGTCAAGAAAGATGACTAGATCTGAAAGGTCATGACTGCTTTTCCTCAAGGGGCAGTGGAAACACAGCTTTTGAATATTTTTAAGAGAGAAGTAAAAAGAGTTAGGGTTTGATAGATTCTTGACTATCATTAACTAGTAAAGGCTATCATTGTAGGCGGAATGTGGAGTAATCAGGACAAACATGACATTATGGAACATTGGAGCAGTGTCAAAGGACCGAGTGTCCTGCAAAAACAAATAGAACACAGAACATAGAACAGTACAGCACAGTTCGGCCCACGATGTTGTGCCGAACATTTACCCTAATCCTAAGGTCTATCTAACCTCCACCCCTACCTTATACTATCATCCAATATGCCCCCTTGTAATAGCTACCTCCACCTAGCTACTAGGAAAAAGTCTCTGGCTATCCACTCTATCTATACCGCTGATCATTTTGTACACCTCTATCAAGTCATCTCTCATCCTTTGTCATTCTAAAGAGAAAAGCCCTAGCTCTCTCAACCTTTCCTCATAAGACCTTCCCTCCATTCCAGGCAACATCCTGGTAAATCTCCTCTGCACCTTTTCCAACACTTCCATATCTTTCCTGTAACGAGGCGACCAGAACTGGACACAATACTCCAGATGTGGCCGAACCAGGCTTTTGTATAGCTGGAGCATAACTTCACGGCTCTTGAACTCAATCCCTCTATTAATGAAAGCTAACACACCATACGCCTTCTTAACAACTCTATCCACCTGGGAGGCAACTCTCAGGGAACTGTGGACATGAACCCCGAGATCCCTCTGCTCCTCCACACTGCCAAGAATCTTTCCGTTAACCCTGTATTCTGCTTTCAAGTTTGTCCTACCAAACTGAATCACCTCACACTTTTCAGGGTTAAACTTCATCCGCCACTTCTCAGCCCAGCGCTGCATCCTATCAGTGTCCCTTTTTAACCTAGAACAGCCCTCCGCACTGTCCACAATGCGACCCACCTTCATATCGTCCGCGAACTTACTAATCCACCCTTCCACTCCTACATCCAAATCTTTACAAATTTGCTGGAAAAGCTCAGCTGGTCTGGCAGCATCTGTGAAGGAAAAAGCAGAGTTAACATTTCGGGTCCGGTGACCCTTCCTCAGAACTGGCTTACTCCTGCTCCTCCATTGTATGTTCGTGTATTCAATAGCCTCTGTGTCCAGTCCCTTTTACTCTGCACCATTGGAACACAAGTTGTTGAGGTGGCTAAGGGGCAACACAGAGTGGGTCAGCTCAGACCACAGTGGCTCGCAAAGACTTCTGCAACACTGTCCCCCAAATCTGCCACTTCCTCCACCTGCAAAGACAAGGGGCAGCAGATGCACGGGCACAGCACTACCTGCGAGTTTGCCTCCAAACCGCACCTTCCCGACATATATCCCTGCTCCCTCACTGTCGCTGGGTCGAAACCCTGGAACTCCCTCCCAAATAACAGGGCGGGGGGTGGGTGGGTTGAGGGGTGGGGGTGGGAGCTCTACCTGCTGCCTCCCGTGGAAAGCAGCAATTCATGAAAGCAGCTCAACGCCACCTTCTCAAAGGAAATTACGGATGGGCAATAAATAACTGGCTTGACCTGCCGATGCCCACTTCGCAGAAACGAATTAGAGAAACAAGGATGAGACCTTGTGGGGCATCAGCCAGAGGATAGCCCTTGGGTGGCACAGTGGCTAGCACTACTGCCTCACAGCACTAAGGTCTTGGGTTCGATTCCAACATCGGGCAATTGTTTGTGTGGGTTTGTTCTGGTTTCCTCCCACAGTCCAGAAATGTGCAGGTTAGGGTGGATTGGCCATGCTACATTGCCTGTAGTGTGCAGGCTGGGTGGATTAGCCATGGGAAATGCAGGGTTATAGAATAGGGGGATTGGTCTGAGTGGGATGCCCTTCAGATGGTCAGTGTTGGCTGAATGGCCTGCTTGGGATTCTAGTTGGAGAATAGCACTGTAGCTGCAATACAGAGAGTGACCTTGTCCTGACCACACCCCAAGTGTGATCCCATCAAAGGAAGATTTTTAAACATGCAGAGGAAAGCAAATCACTGTTCACTGCCACCAATTAAACTTAAGGCAGCATGCCCAACATTCCTACATGTTTCTAAATCAAACACTGCAGCAAAATGCAAAATACTACAGGATGCTGGAAATGTAAAATGAAAACAGATAATGCTGGCAACCACCCAACAGGTCAGGCAACAGCTGTGGAGGGCGACAAACTGAGTTAACATTTTCAGGTCGACAGTCTTCCACAAGGACAGTTCCAATGGAAGTTCATTGGCCCGAAATATTGAAGCATTTTAATCTCTCTCCACAGAGCACTTCCATCACTTGCTGCTTTTATTTCCAATTCCCAGCATCCATAGTATTTTACTTTTGAGTTGCTGTTTCTGTTAGTATTTTGAGCAACTCAGAGGAACTGTACAGTCAACAGTGCACACCAGTGTCTCAGGCAGCGGCGGCTTTCTGTTTATCGCAGACCTTAGACTTTCCCATGTCTGTGTGTACTTTCACATCTAGTCAGATGGGCAGCAGTAGGCGCAGTGTTCTCTGACCTGACCCGGACGGCACAGTGGCTTAACATTGCTGCCTCACAGCACCAGGGACCCCGGTTCGATTCCAGCCTCAGGCAACAGTCTGTGTGGAGTCTGCACATTCTCCACGTATCTGTGTGGGTTTCCTCCCATAGTCCAAAGATGTGCTGGTTAGGTGGATAAGCCATGGGAAATGCAGGACTACAGGGATAGGGTGAGAAGCTCCTCAGAGGGTTGGTGTGAGCTCGATGGGCCAAATAGCCTACCTCCACACTGTTGGGATTCTATCATTGTGTGGTTATGCTCACAGGAATACTGGGAAGCTGGAATAAGAACAGAAAATGCTAGAAATACCAGCAGATTTTACAGCAGCTGAGCAGGGGGATGTGGGCTGAATGTTCCAGTCCAATTAACGTCGGTTGTTGAAGCTTGCGAGAGAAGAAAGCTTTCTGCTCAAGTGCTGGATGAGGTGAAGAGCAAAAAGTGGCCTGTAGGCCAGGACTGGTTTGAGAGAGGGTGAGTAAGTGCAGCTTGAGAGAGGGAGGGAGGTCGGCAAATATAGAATCGTAGAAACATACAATGCAGAAGAGGCCTTTCAGCCCAGCCCAGCTGCACCAAATTGACACTAGTTCAGCTTTCCCGCACTATGCGATAGCCTCGAATGCTTCAAACGTTCATCCAAGTCCTTTCTTTTTGAAAGGTTGTGAGGTTTCCTGCCTCAACTACCCTCCCAGGCAGCACTTTCCAGACCCTCACCATCCTCTGGGTGAAAATTCTTTTCCTCAAATCCGCCCAGTGAATGTTGGCATTTGGCATCAGTGGTGAAGCAGGAGTGGTCGTTGCCTCAGTGACCTACTGATTGTTTCCAGTTATTTCTACACCTCTTTCAGGAGTTACTGAATATCCACCAGGATTTCCAGTTCTTGTCAATGATCTGTCTGTAGGAATATCATGAGCAGCTCCAGGGCCTTTAATTTTCTTTAGTCTTTCATGGATGTGAGTGTCACTGGTAAGGCCAGCACTTGCTAACCATCCCTAATTGCTCTTGAACCCAGTGGCTCGCTCAGTGCCAACCACATTGCTGCTGAGCTTGAGTCACATGTAGGCCAGACCAAATCAGGACAGCAGGTTTATTTTCCAAAGGGACTGATGGGTTTTCGCTGCTGTGGATGATTAGTTCTGTAGTTCCCATTACTGAGACCAGCTTTCAATTCCAGGAATGGAGGCATTTTCTGAGCAGGAGGGGTTGAAGTAGGTGACATTCTACTCATTGGAGTTTAGAAGAGTGAGCACCAACCTAATTGAAACAGGCAAGATTTTAGGAGACTTGAAGGGTAGATCATTTCCCCTTGAGAATCCAGGGCCAGAGGGCATAATCTCAGAATAAGGGGCCACCTCATTTACGACAGGGATGAAGAGGAATTTCTTCTCTCACAGGGTAGTGAATCTGTGGAATTCTTTAGCACAGAGGGATGTCAAGGCTGGGCTGTTAAGGATTAGACAGATACTTTTTATCAGTAAGGAAATCAAGGGTAATAAGGAAAAGGCAGGAAAGTAGAGTTGAGGATTATCAGATCAGCCATGATCTCATTGAACAATGGAGCATACTCAATGGGCTGAATGGCCTACTTCTGTTATTATGTCTACTGATAGTTCCAGATTTAGTAAAAAATTTCAAATGTCACCACTTGCTGTGGTGGGATTTGAACTCATATTCTTAGATCATAAACTCTGGGCATTTGGATTACTAGTCCAGTGGCATTAGCACCATCTCCTCTGGAACAGATGTGGGATTGACAGAATGCCAGTGAAAACATTAACATTTATTAACTATAAACATACACCTTGTAGAGTAGCAGTTTGGTAGTTCCTTCTTCCATCAGTCCCATGTGATCTGAATTCATCATGACATCTTGCCAATGGACATGCTCAGTAGCTATTCGTAGCGCATTGCTTCAGGTACACCTATACTGTCCTGATTTACTGAAGGGTTTTCAGGAAGATCAAGGGCCCTGTGATTTATCCAGGTTGGGGTCTACTCTGTTAGCAACTGTTTACATCAAGTCCATAGAAAGCCACTGGAGGGAGAAAAGCTTGAATGACCAAAAACATTCTCACTGTGTCAGCACTTGAAAAGGAACTTCAGTGGCTGGAAAGCACTTTGGGACATCTTGACATTACAAAAAACACCATAGAAACAGAGGTCTTCCTTGTCTTTAAGTGTGAATCATTTCCTAAATAAAAAAAACAAAACAACTGTGGATGCTGTAAATCAGAAACAAAAACAGAAATTGCTGGAAAAGCTCAGCATATCTGGTAACATCTGTGGACAGAAATCAGAGCTAATGTTTCAGATCCAGTGGCCCTTCCTCAGAACTGATGGTAATTATGAAAATGTTGGTTTTTGT